TCTCTCTCTCTCTGAACTCTCTTTTCTCTCTCTCTCTCTCTCTCTCTCTCTCTCTCACTCTCTCTCTCTCTCACTCTCACTCTCTCTCTCTCTCTCTCTCTCTCTCTCTCTCTCTCTCTCTCACTCTCTCTCTCACTCTCTCTCTCACTCTCTCACACTCTCTCTCACTGTCTCTCTCTCTCTCACTCACTCACTCACTCACTCACTCACTCACTCACTCTCTCTCTCTCTCTCTCTCTCACTCACTCTCTCTCTCTCTAACACTCTCTCTCTCTCTAACTCTCTCTAACACTCTCTCTCTCTCTAACTCTCTCTAACACTCTCTCTCTCTCTCTCTCTCTAACTCTCTCTCTCTCTCTCTCTCTAACTCTCTCTCTCTCTCTCTCTCTCTCTCTCTCTCTCTCTCTCTCTCTCTCTCTCTCTCTCTCAACTCTCTCTCTCTCTCTCTCTCAACTCTCTCTCTCTCTCTCTCTCTCTCTCTCTCTCTCTCTCTCTCTCTCTAATACTCTCTCTCTCTCTCTCTCTCTAATACTCTCTCTCTCTCTCTCTCTCTAATACTCTCTCTCTCTCTCTAATACTCTCTCTCTCTCTCTCTCTCTCTCTCTCTCTCTCTCTCTCTCTCTCTCTCTCTCTCTCTCTCTAATACTCTCTCCCTCTCTCTCTAATACTCTCTCTCTCTCTAATACTCTTTCTCTCTCTCTCTCTCTCTAATACTCTCTCTCTCTCTCTCTAATACTCTCTCTCTGATACTCTCTTTCTCTCTCTCTCTCTCTCTCTCTCTCTCTCTCTCTCTCTCTCTCTCTCTCTCTCTCTAATACTCTCTCTCTCTCTCTCTCTCTAATACTCTCTCTCTCTCTCTCTCTAATACTCTCTCTCTCTCTCTCTCTCTCTAATACTCTCTCTCTCTCTAATACTCTCTCTCTCTCTAATACTCTCTCTCTCTCTAATACTCTCTCTCTCTCTCTCTCTCTCTCTCTCTAATACTCTCTCTCTCTCTCTCTCTCTCTCTCTCTCTCTCTCTCTCTCTCTCTCTCTCTCTCTCTCTCTCTCTAATACTCTCTCTCTCTCTCTCTCTCTCTCTAATACTCTCTCTCTCTCTCTCTCTCTCTCTCTAATACTCTCTCTCTCTCTCTCTCTCTCTCTAATACTCTCTCTCTCTCTCTCTCTCTCTCTCTCTCTCTCTCTCTCTCTCTCTCTCTCTCTCTCTCTCTCTCTAATACTCTCTCTCTCTCTCTCTCTCTCTCTCTCTCTCTCTCTCTCTAATACTCTCTCTCTCTCTAATACTCTTTCTCTCTCTCTCTCTCTCTCTCTAATACTCTCTCTCTCTCTCTTTCTTTCTCTCTCTCTCTCTCTCTCTCTCTCTCTAATACTCTCTCTCTCTCTCTCTCTCTCTCTCTCTCTCTCTCTCTCTCTCTCTCTCTCTCTCTCTCTCTCTCTCTAATACTCTCTCTCTCTCTCTCTCTCTAATACTCTCTCTCTCTCTCTCTCTCTAATATTCTCTCTCTCTCTCTAATATTCTCTCTCTCTCTCTAATATTCTCTCTCTCTCTAATATTCTCTCTCTCTCTCTCTAATATTCTCTCTCTCTCTCTCTAATACTCTCTCTCTCTCTCTAATACTCTCTCTCTCTCTCTAATACTCTCTCTCTCTCTCTCTAATACTCTCTCTCTCTCTCTCTAATACTCTCTCTCTCTCTCTAATACTCTCTCTCTCTCTCTCTAATACTCTCTCTCTCTCTCTCTAATACTCTCTCTCTCTCTCTCTAATACTCTCTCTCTCTCTCTAATACTCTCTCTCTCTCTCTCTAATACTCTCTCTCTCTCTCTCTAATACTCTCTCTCTCTCTCTCTAATACTCTCTCTCTCTCTCTAATACTCTCTCTCTCTCTCTCTCTTTCTCTCCCTTTTACTGCATTCTTATCCCTCTCCTTATTTATGCCTCCCTCCCCCTCTCCCTTTCTCATTATTCCAATTTATCCTTGCATCTCTTGTAATTCCCACTCTTTATTCTGAATCTGCATATAATTACCCTCCCTCTCCCTTTCTCTGTCTCCCTCTCTTTGCCACTCTATCTTTGCATCTCTTGCAATTTCCTCTCTTTATTCTGAAACTGCATTTGCTTTTATAATTATGTCATTATTATTTCATTTACGCACATGTTTGCATGGAATGGTCTGCGGACATTATTAATAGAAGGTGTTTATCCTACAGTAGTGTAGAAGAGGAGTTTTCGCTCGTGGCACCTTCGCTGCACTCGGCCTGAAAATGGCGGACTGCCCTCCACCCTACACCAAGGCATGACGCACCGGGCATTGATTTTTTTTTTCGCAAAGTGCAACTGCGGAATATTGATTTTTGAAACGGTTTTCCATCAGTATTCGAATATTATTTAGCTGATCCTGGTACACAATCTGCATAGTCTAAACCCTGCCCGCCTCCCGCAGCTGATAGACGAGACGTCCGAGGAAGGAGACATGACGGACACCCCTGAGAAAAATCCCGAAGCGGGCCGGGCAGCGCCCCCGCCCTACCCCGCCATGGACTACGGCTTCAGCCAGATGAACCCCGCGGCGCTTCAGCACAACCCCCACGTCCCTCAGCCAGCCCCCTCGCCCATGGTGATGGCTCCTCCAGCGGCGCCTCAGCAGACGGTGGTGATGGTGGGCTCGCAAGCTCTCCCGCCCGGCGTCTGCACCGTCTGCAGGGTGAGTGTCGTGCTAGTGTTCCTCGAGCGTGACTTGGATTCAGGATTATTACGCCCATGAATAAACTACAAGATCCCGCTGAAACAAATTGTGCAAATGAGAGAGGCTGAGTATGCAAATTAAATGGAAGTCAGTGTGAATCAGCCTACACAGTCTTTCCTCTTTTGCAGGGTATTAGATAGACATTAAAAGCATTTTGTTATAGCTCTCTGGGGCAAAATAATAACGTATTGTTGCGAATGTGTCCTAAAGTCCATTTCTGCCGTCCAGGTGGGCAAGATCAAAGATACCGCATCGTGCTGCACTTGGTTCTGGTGCTGCATATTGCTTCCGCTCGGCCTGATCCCCGGCATCATCGCCTTCTGCTGCTGCTGCCGCCACCCTAAGTGCACCCACTGCGGATACACCGTTGACTAGCTGCCGTTGCTGTTGGGCGCGGGGCTCCGGACGGCTGGGCGGCCGCCGCGCCTCCGGACTGCCTCGGGGCACGGGGGCGGTGCACTCTGGCTTCAGGACAAACGATCAAGACTAATATACTTACATAATCATTCTGGGAAAGTGTGTCAGGCATATAAGGCTTGATTTTTTCTCTCTCTTTTTTTTTTTTTACATTTATCATGTGACCAAATAATGCAATGATCAAGGTAGTGCTTCACTTGAAGTTTGTTTTGGTGTTAATAACAATAATAATAAATATATTTACTTATGAATCACTTCAGTTTTATTCGAATTAAAATAATTATTTTTTGTGAAATTAAATTTGTTTTGAAACTTTGGCAGTGTTGATCGCTGTAATTCCGCGTCCTCGATCACTGCGTTATAAAGCGAGGAATCAGATTCTGGTTCTTATATTCTGGTATACTCACTCGCACACGCACACTCACACTTTTACGTTTACACATCTTGATACATGTATGTGTGACTCGACCTAAACATCACCGTCGTCAAGTTCCGGATAATGTAGCTTGGCCATTCTCATCAGCCATTGCGTGAGAAAGGTGTGAGGGAAACCACGAGGACAAGGCAGAGACAAAGAAGCAGTTGCTTGCTCTTGTTGCCATCCAACGTAGGTGAAGACCTGCCGTTTGTTCAGCTGAACTTCCGTGCAAACAATTTGCACAGCCAAAGATTTCAGTTGCATCAATAAACAGCTGCTATCCACTGCCCTGTTGCCAACACACACACACACACACACACACACACACACACACACACACACACACACACACACACACACACACACACACACACACACACACACACAAAATAATAAATAGATAAATAAATCTCAAACCTGGAAATGTCCTGGAAATGCATGATTCCTTAAGTTGGGTAATTGCAGTCCAAACTATAACTGTGTAATCCTGTGGCTGTAAATACCAATTTTATTATTTGATTTTTATACTCGGTCTCATTTATATATTCATGTAGTTTCCTTTGTTTTAGTATTTTTAGTCCGTTTGTGACACACACCCTTCTAAACGATGTACCTGTGTGCATTCCTTGTGTTAACACTGACGGTAAAGACAAACGTCTCTGGAATGCTCGTAAAATAAAGTTATTCTCCAGAATCGTGTGCAGTTTTTGTGTCCTAAGGTAACGCTTCTCTATCACCAAGACTATAGATTAAGTGAAGTAATCATGAAAGGTCCGTACGCACGCGTATATGATATATATACATAATACATCTGTGGGGTGTGGGTGTGGGTGCATGTCACACACACACACACACACACACACACACACACACACACACACACACACACACACACACACACACACACACACACACACACACACACACACCACACACACACACACACACACACACACACATATATATAAATGTATATATATATATATATATATATATATATATATATATATATATAATATACACATATGTACGCATATATGTATTTTATATATATTATATATTTATTACATGTATATAACATACACAGAAGCATATTGTGTATATACATATATATATATATATATATATATATATATATATATATATATATATATATATATATATATATATATATATATATGTATATATATATATATATATTTATATATATATATATATATATATATATATATATATATATATATATATATATATATATATAAGTGATATGCCCACACAAGTATAATATATATACAATTTTAATTATGTGTATATATATAGCTATATATATTAATATAGATATTTATATATATATATAAATATATATATATATATATATATATATATATATATATATATATATATATATATATACATACATATTTATATTACATACACACATATATGTGCATATAAATGTATATATATATATATATATATATATATATAGAT